ATATTCCAAAAAATATAAAATTAGCCGATACAAGGCTTGGACATACGGGTAAAATTGATATTCTTTTAGGTTCAGCAGTGTTTTGGGACCTAATCAGTGAAGGGCATCATTCTATAGGAAAAAATATGCCTAAAATTCAAAATACGAAACTTGGTTGGGTTATTGCGGGACCCATTGAATTTCAGGGTAGACGAAATAAACAAGTGAGCCATTTGAGCACCAATTTGGAAATACAGGGGCAACTCGAAAAATTTTGGATGTTAGAAGAATTTCCTGATGAAAGGAAATTTAGTAAGGATGAAATTCGGTGTGAGGAAATATTTAGGAATACTACAGTTAGGGACGGAAATGGTAGGTTCATTGTAGAACTTCCAATGAAAGAAAATAGAGGTAATTTGGGTAATTCTTTGAATACGGCTTTAAATAGGTTTGAGAAATTAGAAAAACGGTTTTTTAGGGATAGATGTTTGAAAGAGCAGTATTTTGATTTTATGAAAACTTACTTGGATTTGGGTCATATGTCAAGGGTTGGGAATTTGACAGATCTGGAATCTTGTGGGGATAATAATACATATTATTTGCCGCATCACGGGGTTTTAAAAAAAACATCAGAAACTACAAAATTAAGAACGGTTTTTGATGCTAGTGCAGCATCAGCCAGTGGCGTTTCATTAAATGACATATTATTGGTTGGACCCAAATTACAAGACAACTTATTTAATATTTTAATACGGTTTCGGCAATATCAGGTTGTTATTTCGGGCGATATAGAAAAGATGTATAGGCAGGTATTTGTTAAAGAAGATCAACGAGATCTCCAAAGGATAATATTTAGATTTTCTCCAGAGAGGCCGATGGAGATATATAAGTTAAATACGGTAACCTATGGAACAGGTCCGGCTTCTTTTTTGTCTGTACGATGTTTAGTACAATTGGCTGAAGACTTTCGTGGTATTTATAGGGAAGCATCTAGGTCTATACTGGAAGATTTCTACGTGGATGATCTACTCTCGGGTTCGAACACGGTGGAGGAAGCTAAAATTTTAAAAAATGAAATTAGTGAAATTTTGAGCTCAGCAGGTATGGTCTTAAGAAAATGGATGTCTAATGAATGTTCGATTTTAGAAGGAAATCAGAATCAGGTTATAGAGCATTACATAGCAGAAGTAGGTGAAAACCATAAAACTTTAGGAATATGTTGGAATTCTGTTAAGGATACTTTGCAACCCTGGTTAAATATGATTTTTTTGGAATACAACAAGGTGACCAAAAGGCACATCTTGTCGGTAATCGCTCAAATTTTCGATCCATTGGGCATAATAGGTCCCGTTTTAGTTAAAGCAAAATTAATTTTACAATCATTATGGCGTCTAAAAATTGACTGGGACACTGAAGTTCCTTCTGAGCTTAAAATAGTTTGGGATCATTTTCAATCGGAATTGCATCATTTGAACGATTTAAGAATTAATAGGAAAACTATTTGTTGTGATGCCACAAATATCCAAATACATTGTTTTTCAGATGCTTCTCAGGTGTCATATGGGGCATGTGTTTATGTGAGAGCGGTCAATAGACAAGACGAGGTCTATTGTAGTCTCTTATGCTCGAAATCACGTATTGCACCTCTAAAGGTGGTATCATTGCCCAGGCTAGAGTTATGCGGCGCTTTACTTGCTGCTAAATTGGGTTCAGAGGTTTTGAAATCTATACGTTTTACACCAGATAGGGTTTGTTTCTGGACGGACTCGACGATTGTTTTGTCCTGGCTGGCGAGTGAGCCAGTTGAATGGAAAACATTTGTCGCGAATAGGACTTCTGAAATATTAAAATTGACAGAAAAATATGAGTGGTTACATGTGGCATCTGAGAACAATCCTGCGGATGTTTTGTCTAGGGGCATTGATTCTAGTAAAATTGGGGATTCAGATATTTGGTGGAAGGGCCCTAAGTTTTTATATGGTAGCGACGATTGGAGCGAATTCAAAAACTATACAATTTTATTAGATTTGGAAGAGCGGCGTGTCTTAAAAAAGGTATTTCTAATCACGGATAATTTTGATATATTCAGCAAGTATTCTAGCTTCTCAAAATTGATTAGAGTGGTGGCCTATTGCTTTCGCTTTAGGGAAAATTGCAGAAGAAAGGCTGTAACGGGTCCGTTATTGTTGTCAGAAATAGAATATTCTACTTTGATTTTGATTAAATTAGCTCAAAAGGTTGAGTTTCAATCAGAGATAAATGCACTTAAAAATGGTAAAGATATATCTAAAACCAGTAAATTGATTTCATTGGCTGCTTTTCTTGACCATAATGGAGTGTTAAGAGTGGGAGGACGCCTCATTTCAGCTAATTTGAGCTTTGGGGAAAAACATCCGATTATTTTGTCCAATAAACATATATTTACAAGGCTAATGATTTTACATTTTCATTATACAAATTTACATCAGGGTCCACAAGCATTATTAGCATCAATTCGGTTAATCTATTGGCCTTTAACGGGAAGAAGAATAATTAGAGAAATTTTGCGTAAATGCGTTGTTTGTTTTAGGGCAAGGCCGCGAGATTTCATTACGCAAATGGGTAACCTCCCTCGGGAAAGGGTAGTACCAAGTAGACCTTTCAGTCACTGTGGGGTGGATTACGCTGGGCCTTTTGATATTAAAGTCTGTAAACTTAGAGGTTATCGAACAGTCAAAGCTTATTTTTGTGCCTTTGTGTGCTTGTCTACTAAGGCAGTACATTTGGAGATGGTGAGCGATTTATCCACATCAAGTTTCTTGAATTGCTTTAAACGCTTTATAGGCCGAAGGGGACTTTGCACTAGCGTGTATTCAGACAACGGAACAAATTTCGTCGGTTGCAACAATGAGTTACAGGAGCTTTTTGCTTTTTTGTCTGATCCAAAGATCCAAGATAAATTTTCAGAGTTTTTTACAAATTCGAATATGCGTTGGCATTTCATTCCACCACGTTCACCACATTTCGGGGGCATTTATGAGTCAGTAATAAAGTCAGCTAAATATCACATTAAAAGGGTAGTTGGTATTCAAAAATTAACTTATGAGGAGTTTGAGACCGTACTTATCCAAGTGGAATCATGCCTAAATTCACGACCTCTCACTCCTATTACCGAGAATCCAGATGACCTCAACATACTTACCCCGGGTCATTTTTTAATTGGTTCGTCTATGTTTTCTTTGCCGCAAAACGACCTACGGGACATAAACCTGAGTCGCTTGAACAGATATCAACTGCTCACCCAGATGTTGCAATCATTCTGGGATAAATGGAGCTTAGAGTACTTGACACAGCTACAACAAAGAAATAAATGGTTCCATTCTGAAAATTGTTTGAAGTTGGGAACAATGGTTGTTATAAAGGAAAGTAATGTGCCTCCATTGTATTGGCATCTAGGCAGAATCGTAGATTTACATCCAGGCAAGGACAATAAGTGTCGCGTTGTATCAATAAAAACATTGAACGGTGTCGTTAAGCGCGGAACCACGGAAATTTGTGTGCTACCCCTTGAATAGAACAATTTGAACTTATTTTTTAATGTTGAAAATCAGAAGATTTCAAGGGGGGCGATATGTTACATCTCATTACCTATGTGAGAAAAATTTGTTAGGTGTTTGTCAATTTGTCATTTGATTAATAATTGTAATTGTCATAGAATTATAAAAAAGAATAAAAAAGTAATGTTTAATTTGATGATACAGTCCACTTAATTTTCGATTGGTTGTTTTAATTCTGGAAGAAAAAGACACCATCGGCTAGGGAACAAAACAGCATACTTGGCAACTCTGAAAATGAAACCAGAATCAGTGCTACAAAAGTGTATCTTTATCCTTATATTTTACATAATTTTAGAAAAAGATGCGGATACACTCACTGCGCACTGATTGACAAATGGAAATTGTCATAAAATACCTGCAGGTCGTATTTTGGTCGAGTTCGTTTTTGTCATCTTTTTCGTCGATTTGCTCAGAAATTTTGACAGGCACGTGATTTGTAAACTGAAACTATCTTATCCAGTCACGTGCCTGTCAAAATTTCGGAGCAAATCGACGAAAAAGATGACAAAAACGAACTCGCCCAAATGACAATTGGATAGAATGGATAGAAGCCGCTGATTGGTGGAAAGGTGGAATTCGAGGTGGGATTTATTTTTTTGCAACGTTGTTAATTTTCATTGAAAAATAATCGCTTTTTACGTGTTAGAGAAAGATACAAAATAACACAAGGATTAATAAGTAGTGGGGAGAGAGGCGGTTCCTGGCATGTAGTCAACCGATATTATTGTTTATTGTTCTGTCTATCGCTGTGTTAATAGGTCATTGTTCAAGACGCTCCAAATATGAATCAATATCGGATTGTTTGGGACTAAACTGTTCGATTGATCCAACCAAAGGCATTTTTGAACTTTTTTCCACAATTTTCTGGACAAAACGTTTCTACCCGACTTTTTGGACACGTACTAGACAAGTAACCGCGGGACTCGAAGAATACTCGTCGCCAATTAATTGTTGTGTATTTGCTGAACGAACAACGGACAAACAATGCGTTTTTTAAATAATTCTATATTAGACTGACACATTTACAAAACATATGACAAGGTGTCCCATAGAGACAATTAAACAAAAACTACTGCCTACTTATACTATATTTTATAATTATAATTATCAAGTACGGGATCAAGTACTTATTCTAATCAACAAATAGAAATTAGTTTTAATCATAGATTCCTTAAACACCTGAAGAAGTTCTGCATAAATAATAAGCCAAATCTTCTAAATTATTATAAAACTACTCGTAGCTCAAATTTTGAACTTGAAAGTCACCTAAACAAATACATAACAATAAATAACCAGCCTCCCACAGAGTTTCAATTGATTGAAAATCCTTGTACCACACATACATAACATACAATTCTTTATCGAAAGAATAATAAGATAAAGATGTTTATCAACAAATTTAAAAAAAAAAAAAATCAATTTTACCTCGTCTTTCATAACTTATCCAGGGCCTTTGCTGATTTTTTTCTCAATCAGGCAAACTAATAATTAATCCAGAAGAAAAATACGACGGGATCTCGTCCCGGATTCGATATCGCAACAACAACTTTCCCGTTCCACGTACGATTTCGAACTGTTTTTTTTTTGTTCTTCAATTTTTGACAGCTCGACACGAAAACGTCATCATGAATTTATTGAAAAAAAAAAAAAATCAGTGATACCAACTTAAAACAAGTGTGTTCTTGTTTGGGTTGCTTCGAACAACATTTTTGAATTATGCTCGGAGGTGCTTTAATTTCTGTTCTCCTCATAAAAGGAAAAAAGACGGGAAATGCTCCGAATGATCAATGTTACGGTTAGTAGCATACTCGGAGTACACTTAAATGGCTCGGTAGAAAACGCTACGAAATCAGTGTAGAGGCGAAAAAACCGTTGACAACTGTCAACAAGTTATTTTGAAGTCGATGATGCTTTCCATATTTTTTGAGTTTAGAGATGAAATTAAATAATTCTTATGAAAAATGCAGAATTGACAAAAATTTAATAGGAATATTTAAATTGTTTTCCTACCAGTGAGCAAGTGCCTTTAGTTATTAAGCTAGTGTTAAAAATGAAGTTCAAAACAATCAAAGTATCAACAACGTAAGTAGAGATTTATTTTGATAGGACCCAGCCTCATATTAACAAAACTGTGAATTACTTTTGTATTTTTAAGCTTCTCATTTGGTTGACAAACACAGAGCGGAAATTTCACATTAAATCATAATTATTCTTGTTTTCAGAAAAGATATTGCAAATAGAAGTGGCAACCGAATTGCAAAGCAAAAACTCAAAGAAGCAGCTAAAGATTTGAATGATGTCTTAAAGGTAAAAAAAATAATTATCAAATGCTTAAAAATAGTCTTCAACAACAGGGCAAGCATTCAAAATTGATTTAAGGGCCAGTTATTCACCTTTTGATAAATTGTCAGCAGGTATGCAATCTGAAGGATAAAAACGCAATTTTTTATCCCATTGGTCCTAATAGAATTATTTTGTGTTTATTTAACCACAAATATAAATTATTCACATAATTATGTGTAGCTAACAGCTGGGATCGTTACTTGAAAAAAGTAACGCGTTACTTTACAGTTACTTTTGTTTAACAATAACTCATAATTTAAAATTTACCGTTACTTTCGAATAATGATAACTTTATTTCCGTTACCCATTGGAAAGAAACGCGTTACTGTAACTTCTTTACTTTGACAGTAACTTCTCTACTTTAGAAGTAGTTCGTTACTTAAAAGTAACTCGTTATTTGAAAGTTACCTGTTACCTCAACGCATTAGTTTGAAACGAGGGGTCAACCACTTCCCGAAATACGTGTACACTTGGCCCGAATTACCTCCGAAATACTTCAAAGTACCTCGAAATACCAGGTATTCCCGTCGAAATACGCGAAATCCCATGGAATTACCGTCGAAGTACCCGAAATACCCTCAAATTACTGCGCGAAGTCCCGCAATACTTCTAAAAATATTCTCGTTTATAACGATTCTTCTTGTGGATCGCAGTGGAGAATTTATGCTCGGATTTTTGTGTCTTTTGATATGATGGATTTTATTCGGACACACAAACTACAATTAAATCAATAGTTGCAGGAATAAGAATAAAACATTAAAATAAGATATAAACAGCTAGGTATCAGAATATCAGATATTTTCAACAAAATGCAAAAATGCATCATACAAAAAACAGGCTTTTCCATTTAAAAAACCTCTCATCAATGGTGCAACTCTTTAGTTTTTGGTTCAAATGATTTTTTGGTACCATGGCTATTTTCAATTTTCTCAAAAATACAGGGAAAGTCAAAAATAATCCTCTGTTAATGTAATAATGTAATAATGTAATTATCCAATAGCAAGCGGTGTACCGATGAAGCTATTGTCTCTTTAAAATTTGTTATTGTTTACATTTTCCTTTAATTATGCGCCATAATGGATCATTCTTGCTGCACTCTGTCTTAATTCTTTGTCTAAACGATTTTTAAATATATTAACGTTTGCTGCAGTAACCGTTTCCTCTGTGAGTGCATTCCATGAATATACCACACGATTGGTCAGAAAATTCTTCCTTTGGAGTTTAGCAGCCCTTTCCTTGTCTATTTTCATTGAATGTCCTCGAAGCTGTGGATTCTGGTTGAGACGAAAGATGTTCTTGATTTCGCACTGATAGTGTCCACTAATTATTTTATATGTTTCGATAAGGTCTCCTCTATGTCTTCGCTCCCTTAGCGTTGTTAATTGAAGTCTTTCCAGTCTTTCTGGGTATGGTAAATTTTTCAGTTCATTGGGTATCTTCGTGACTCTTCTTTGTATTTTTTCCAGGATCTCAATATCTTTTACGTAATATGGGTTCCATACTGTGTAAGCGTACTCAAGTTTTGGCCTAATATAGCTTTTATATAGTATTGAAATCATTTCCATTGTGTGGTCTTTGAATGCCTGTTTTACAAGGTAGACGAACGAGTTGGTCTTTTTGGCTATTTTCAGAATGTGGTTTTCCCATTTTAAATTTGCAGTCACGATAACACCCAGGTCATTTTGCTCATCCACTACTGACAAAACTGTGTTATTCAATGTGTATTGTTCGTTTGGGTTGTTTGGACCAATTCTTAATACTGTGCATTTAGATTCGTTTAGTTTCATCCCCCAGGTACTGGACCATTCCTCGATTCTTTGAAGATCTCTCTTGAGCTGAATTGCGTTAAGACAGGGGTTTGCATATATTTTACCATCATCAGCAAAATTTTTCATTTTCGTCTCAATCAGGTCGACAAGATCGAAGAGATATGCTGTAAAAAGCAAAGGCCCTATTACTGATCCCTGAATAACTCTGCTGCTGACTGGATGTTGCTTAGACATTTCGCCATTCACTCTCACTTGATAATGTCTTTTGTATAGGGAGTCTGCTATCAATGACAGTATTTGTCCTCGCACTCCATAGTGTTCAAGCTTGATAAGCAAATAATTCTGAGGAACTTTATCGAATGCTTTTTCATAATCCAAATAGATGTCAGTTGGTTGGGAGTTGTCATGGTTTTCTGTCCAATCATCCAGGCATTCGATTAGGTTTGTTGTAGTGGACCGTTTTGGAAGAAATCCATGCTGTGATGGAGGTATCAAATTGTTTTCTGTGAAAAATGATGTTAATTCTTTCACAATAATTTTTTCCATGCATTTCAATGGATTACAGTTGAGGCTTATGGGACGATAATTTTCTGGTTTGTGTCGGTCTCCTTTTTTAAATAGCGGTGTTACTATTGACAGTTTCCATTGCTCCGGGATCCTTCCCAGTTGTATACACTCTTGCATCACTTCTGCCAAGTACGAACTAATTGTTTCACTGCAGTTCTGGAGGAAGATTGTAGGAATTCCATCTGTACCAGGACTTGATTCTTTTTTCATTTTCGTATGGGTCTCTTTTACCTTCTCTTCAGTGAAGACTATGTTGGTGATTGAGTTCTGGTTTCTGATACTTGCTGGCTGTGATGGAGGGGTGTAGTTTTGTGGTTGAGAGAATGATTTATCAAATTGGTATGCAAATTTTTCCGACATGGTTTTGTTATCCATAATTTCGTGACTGGTTGGATCTTTGAGCGTTATTGTAGACACTTTAGAGTTTAAGGCTCTACTTATGTATTTGTACAACTGCTTAGGTGACTTTGAGGCTGCTAAGTTATGTTCATATGTTTTTCTAGCATCAAATAGTTTTTGTTTCAGAGTGTTGTTTTGATTTCTGTAAAGCTGATAGTTTTCTGGGGTTTTATTCTGCCTGTATCGGTCCCATAGTTGTCGCTTGTTATCAATTTCCTTGAAATGTGCTGCAGTAATCCATGGCTTTTGCTGGTTCACTTTTATTGATCTTAATGGAATATACCTTTCTATAGCCTCATTAATAATTCTTTGATAGTTGTCAAATTTTGATTGTTCTGCATTAACCTGCTGTTGTCTGATATAACCATTTATTTGCTCATATTTTGCAGTGCGAAAATTTCTTTTTTGAATCTTATGGGTTTGTTTCGGCGGTAATTTTATCTGGGCTCTCGCTGTAATAACAACATGGTCACTTTGCCCAACTGGTGGCTCAGATCGAATGTCAAAAATACTTTTTTTATCGCTGCTCAAAAACAAGTCCAAAAGGGAGCTTTGACTATTCCTAAATCGAGTTGGGAAGCTTATTAATTGGTATATGTTACTTTGATTATACATATCCATAAAATCCTGTGCCCTCTTGTCAGCCGGTATTACCCCCAGGGTATCCCAGTTTATGTTGGGGTAGTTGAAATCACCTAGTATAATGGTTGGGTTTTTGCATGCAAATGCCTTACCCAACTGGTTAATCAATTGTGCATTAATTTGTTCTGTTGTAGTGTTTCCTGGCCTATATATGCATGCAATGAGAAATTTGATTTTTTCTATCTTTAGGTCTAGCCATATTGCATCAACTGGTGCATCTATGGGATAGTTCTGGGAAAGTGCACAACTAAGGTTATATCCATTTACTACATTCTTAACAAGTATACACGATCCCCCTCCTCTCTGATGCGGCCTCTCTGCTCGAAAGATACTGTAACCTTGTAAATTTATTATGCTGTCAGTTACACCATCAGTAAGCCAGGTTTCCGTTAGCATGATTATCGTAGGGCATGTTATTAGTACCCTTGCCTTCCACTCATCGACTTTGTTCAACATAGAACTCATATTTGTGTACCAAAATGTGATTTCAACTACCTCGACTGTACTTAGTTTTTTGCTACCTTTTCGACTATTTTAGGGGTCCATTTACATATCTAATTATCAAATTTAATCTACCTTCTGCTTTTTGCTTCTCCAAATCTGCCATTATCTGCTTTAAGTACCTCCGTTGAGTTTCTGTCTTATCAGATTTAATGTAGACATTATCCACCCTTTCTTCTAAATTTTTCTTGCTTTTGAGCACTTTTATCGCTTCTTCTTTGCTGGGTAGAACGACTTTTATAGGTCTTTTCTTGTCAGGCATCTCCCTTCCCAGTCGAAAGATTTTAGCTTCCTCGGGCAAACTTAAATTCATTTTTTTGTACAGAAAACTAACCTTGTCTTTGTCATCCTTCACCTTGTCATCCTTTTCTGATTCATCCACGCCGAAAAAAAGGATGTTACTGGCTCGAATCTCTCTCTCCTTCATTTCTTGTAGGGTTTCCTCAACATCTGATTCAGATCCTTTGTCCACCGGGATTTTTATGGTCTCCACCTTTTCTTCAAGCTTCTTCAGGGCTTCAGCGTAACTCTGCCCCCCAGAAATTTTCCGATCTACCTGTTCTATTTCCCTACTCAAGTTCAATAGCTCGCCCTTTAAAGTTTCATTTTCTCTTTTTCTCCTTTCGTTAGACCCTTTAAGGCTGTCTACTGCTTCTTTCAGTTTTTCCAGACTGTTGGCTGTTTCTTGGGTTTGTAGTACGGTTTTTTTCATTTTTTTCTGTACATCAGGAAGCATTTTAATTGCATCCTTGCAACTAGGGCAAAGAAAAAGTGTTGTTCCAGATGCACTTGGAATAATTCGAACTTCTCCTGCTAATGCACCAGTACATTCGCTACATATTATTTCTTTACAGAAATCACACGGAAATCCAAATAATTTTCCTTTTTCCTCCCTTAAAACACAGGGTTTAGTGCACTTGTAACAGTCCTGCTGTGACATTCTAACCCCACTAAGTTTTTCACTCAAAAATAAAGTTTTTGGAAAAATATTATTGCCTCCCTATTTATTGACGTCTTGTAGAAATCACTGGTATTTAAAAAAAACTAAAAAGTCCCAAAGAAACTTGGATTAATTCGGATTTTAGT